TAAACCATTATTAAACACTTAATTAGTGTATTGAAACGGTATATTTTTAGGAGAGATTAATTTCTGGGAAAGAAGGGTTTTGGCTTTCTACTTTCCCATCTCGATACAAAAAAATGTGGTAATCTTCCAAAAAAAGGAAGGAAGCAATCAATTTCAAAAATTAACTATACAAAGATGTGTAAATAGATCATGCAAATAAGTAACTTTCACACACACAAACTGGAAGAAAAATCCCTCTCGAAACAGCTATTTTCAGAATCAGAATCAAAACAATGTCGTCTCCACAACTACTTCCGTTTGCCACGTCACAGCTATAGGCAATAGTTTCAATTCAAAACTTTTGAAAAGCTCATAACCCTTTTGGCCCAAATTGTTTTTGAGGCTCAAGAATCGAGCAACCCAAGAATCTCTTGATCAAATATTCCATCTTTAGGTAGGGATGTCCATCTCCGATAACGTTAGCAAGAATAAAATCTAGTTGAATTTTGTGATTTTGGTCTAAATCACCTGAATAGCTCACAGGACAACCTACCATCGAACCATCTGCAAGGTTCCCGAACATGTAGGACAATTTGTTGAAGTAACATTTGGATAATGGTAACAGTGCTCAGTTGCTGGATTGCGACAATTGAGTTTAATATGACCATTTTGATGTCAACTCCAGTACACAATAGTGCAAACTGGTTCTTGAATAACAGCGCCAAAAGCCGGGCCCTGAGGTACATCACTATCACCGATCAGGGTTGAAAGTAGAAATAAGTCTTTTTTGATGGCCAGTAGAGTACTGACTCGTTTCTCTCATCCTTTAGAATTGTCCACTTGCTGACATAACCTAATTATTTTCGGAAACGGTTTTAACTTCTTGTGCCAAGATCCTTTGTTCCTTAAATATTGCATATAGGCCCAATACTCTTCATTCTTTTTGTAAACAATGTGTCGAATGTCATACATCACAGCCATTACTCAATGTTTGCAGACGATTTCAAACTTTATAGGGTGAAAGATAACTTGTGATGCAGAACTATTACAGCTAGTTTTAAATAACTTATCTCGTCTATTATATATCCATACAAAATCAAAAACAATAATCTAATGTTGACCAACAGCGTTCGAGACTTGGTAGTGTAGTTTGATAACCAAGTAACTTCAAAAGATACTATTGATCACAATGTATCTAAATCACTCAAATTATTGAGATTTGTTCAACTATCCACAGACAAATTTTCTATAAATACCTTTAAAATATTGTATTGTTCTTGGTACGATTGGTCTTGGAAAGTAATTGCGTGGCTCATCTATATCAGGCAGATATATCTAGGATTGAAAAAGTACAAAACAAATTTCTGAGCTCATGTGCATTCAAGCTCGGGTATCAGAGGTCCGATTATAAGTACTACGATATTCTGCTACTTTTGAAATTATCCACGAAGAACCGCTGCGGAACAGTGTTCTAAGCTTTTGAGAAGCAGCCTTTGTAATTCCAGTGACATGATTGTGCCAAGATATATTGGTGTCCATGTTAATCCCAAACAAACTTATCGAAGCAGAAAGCGGAGTTGTCTGTTCTGACATTATTATATCCAGTTCGGAGACATTTATCTTTTCGGTGAAAACCGATGCTTGGGTTTTTGTGGCATTGAATTGAACCTGTTTACTTTCACCTCAATTCTAAATCACCTCTAGATCCTCATTAAGATATGCAACCTTCTGCTGCCGGTGAAGATGTGCACCCCCAGTCGATGTCCTGGAATTCAAATGGAAAAATAAGTGTGCTGTTAGTTAGCAAGCAATATATTGGATTCTTATTTTTTCCAATAAGTCGTTGATATACAATAAAAAAAGGTTGGAGACAATATGGATCCACTTGCAGGGAACGTTCTTTCAGGAAGCTAGAGAGTCATACACGAAAATGACACGAGCATCGAAGTTTCGCCAGCAAACCCACATGATACATACGGTCATAGGCCTTAAAAAAATATCAAGTGCAACAGCTCTTTGACTCTCCATGTTTCTCGATTGCGTTATTACAAATATGGGTGACATACGGATAGAAGGTCGCCTGTTGATCTTTGTTTTTGAAAATCATATTGATGATCGCTCAAGATGTTGAAGTCTTCCAAAAGGATATTGTGGTTTACGGCTTTCTCTATAATTTTTGATATCACTGATAGCAAACCGACTGGTCTTTAGTTATTTGAAAGATTGATATCACTGATAGCAAACCGACTGGTCTTTAGTTATTTGAAAGATTTTTCTTGCCCTTTTTGGGAATAGGCTGGACGCGAGCAGTCTTCCAACAAGAAGAAAAAACCCGTTACTTGTAAGACAGGTTGAAAAGTCTGCAAAATACTGGTGCGAGTTCATTTGCGCACTTTTCAAGTACGATGACGGGTACTTCATCAGGACCAAACGCCTTGTTGATATTAAGAATTTTTGGTATCGTGGATTCTAGTATGGGAATAGTGTTTTGCTGTTGCGAGCATCAACAGACCTAGTTCGGTTTGCGGTACTGGGATTTTTGTGTCACTGTCGGTAGGCGAGACTTTTGGCGGCGGTAGCTTGCTCGCAATTTTTGTTGACCCAAGGATTGCCGTTAGAAGATCGTTTCATTGAAAAATAAATTACAGGGTGTCAACTTCCCACCCTTTATATCTTCCTTCCAGTAAACAATATGAGGAATTAAAAAAACAGGTCAATTTTATTCTCAAGGGGACTTTTTCAAGGACTATTTGTAACCCTCGTGGTTCAACCCGCTAGGAGGGGTAGATGTTATCCTTAGAATTTTGAATGCATCTCAGAACAGGCAAATTCTAATTACATGTGTAAGTTTAGAACGCTATTTTTCGGAAACTGCTCATCAAAAAATAAAACGTCAGGGTATCATTGGAAGCAGAATAGAACGCTAATCAAAATGATGTGCCACTTGACACCCCTTCCCATTCAAAATTCTAAGGGTAACATCTACCAATCCTTGGGGGTTGAATCACGAGGGCTACAAATGTTCCCAGAAAGTGTCCCCCTTGACTGTAAAATTGACCTGTCTTTTCGATTACTCATATAATTACATGGAAGGCAGATATTGAGTGTGGTAAGTTTTAAAATTGACACCCTGTATATACATCCATTGATGATAGAATAACTTCCGTGAGTTCAAGAGCACAAGTTTATGGATCATTAGAGCTGAAACAAACATGTAGCCTGGGGAAATTTCGGAAATGGTTTTGAAGATCCTTCCACTCAGCAGATATGTAGTGCCAAACTTTGCACTGCTTAGATTGTTCCCCAACATTTATCGGTAATTAACTCAACACTGAAACGAGTCTGTGGTCAAAAGATCCCAACGGAGACCTTATGGTGACTGTGTAAATTTCTGGATTGGTTGTTAGATATAAATCTAGGAGACTAGCATATTCTCCATCACCATTTGAAACTTGAGACATTCGATATTGTGGACTCAAATAAAAAATAATTAATTCCAAACCAATTACATATATCTGTTTACAATGAACCGACAAAAAATTGAAATAAAGGTTCGAAAGGAAAAAAAAAAAAATTAGCGTTGGGCGCCAAATATGTTACCGACGTGACTTCGACTACCTATTTTCAAATAGTTTCCGGGAACTCAACAATTGATTGATCGCCGACTAGCTCAGAGAGTGGACTTGAGTCATAATTCGTGAGGAAAAAAGAGAGCCACGTATTTTTTGTATAATTCAGTGTTCATATAAAAGTTTCAAAAGTATTTTTATTTCGTGTAATTCAATGTTTATATGGAAGTAGCTGTTTCGAGAGGGCTTTTTTTTCAGTTTGTGTCTGAAAGTTACTTCTTTACATGATCTACACATCTCTCTATAAAGTTTTTTTTAATTGATTGCTTGCTTGAAATTGAAAAAAAAACAAAATTATATCTCATCTAGGAATGTCCAATTGGTTTTTCTTAAACGATTGCTTGTATATGCAATAAAAGTATTAAAATGTGGATACAAACATAAAACCTTTCTTTCCCATAAAACTTATCTTTAAGCTATCAATTGCAGAAGTCCAACGATACACAGGCCTCCAGAACCGTTTTAAAGTCTACGCACACTGCGACAGGACGGGAACATGACGTAAAATTTATTTTCTCTTTCTATAGTTTTTTATGGAGAGGCGCACACTAAGACAGGCCATGGACAGGCACATGCCAGGACGAGCCAGGCCAATGCCGTGCTGTCTCCGCTCGAAGGCCATATCGCATCATGTTTCCGTCCCTGTCGCAGTGTGCGTAGACTTTTAACAACCCAAATTATTTATGTTGGTAATTAGATCTTTTCTTGTGGTAAACAAAACAGGAAAAGAAATAATTAGAAAATATTACATAGCAGGGAAGTTGCAATTATATTAACTCACTTGTCATGTTGTATAGGCTTTATGTAAAAGAACTTTCACGTGATCAATCGTGCCGTTTACAGTTTTCCCAAACCAAAAAAAAATCATTAAATACGTTTTTCCATGTATAACCAAATGCTTGAATACTGGATGAGAAGCTAGATATCACACTAGGCAAATAAACAAATTCACATTCTCATCACGTAACAGAAAACCAGTACTAATCTATGTAGGTACATCAGTCGAAATCTTTTACAATTGCTCGCCAACCCCTTACTTAAAAAACACCTGCTTAGAAAAACTATTTGAAATACAAGTCATATGAAATTCGGGTGAAAAAAATATGACCCATTCAGCAATTATTTCAAAGCGAAGTTGGTTGTCTGTAAATTTGAATAAGTTGAAACACAATGAATCAGCATTATCTATCCGAAATACAAGGTGATTGTGCTAAAATCAGTTGAAAATTTCGTTGTAAATTTTTGACTCGTTACATTTTAGAAGCGACGCGACACCTAAAACGATCGAAAAGAACAAATAGAGTTGAGCGCCATCTTGACCAAGTTACAACGATAATAAAGTTTTTAAATATGGCTAGGATTGTTCAAATTAATTTTCTTAATGATTTCTAGGTTCAGAAATTCTCCGCCGAATTGAAAAGGACAATGAACGTCTTGCCATGCCAGAAGCGTGCCCTCCTGCTTTTTATGCAATTCTTCTACAATGTTGGGCAAAGAATCCTCAGGATCGTCCTACTTTTTCATCACTCAAAGATTTCTTCAGAAAAAATACAACGCCAGTGATGAAAGTCCTTGGAAAACAAGATGATCCAGATAAACTGAAGATGAATGAAGGAGATGAGGTTGCTATTATAGATGGTAGTCCTGAACTGTACTGGTGGAAAGGACAACACCAGAAGACTTTTGAAATTGGACTACTACCTAGATGTCTTGTGGATCCATTGAGACCAAAGCAGCCAGAAGATATAAGGTATGATTTCTTTGGCGAATATAATTTGTAGAATGAGTACATTTTTTTCCAGTCATATGAGATGTTTATTTCCAATAGATTTAAATTAAATTTAATATTGCCTTTGAAATATACGAAATTTATAGATAATAATAATAATAATAATTTTTTATTATTTCCTTGTTAAAAAGTACATTGTTATACGTACAGTGACAAGGAAAACGTCTGGAGGGTAGGACACGTTACAGAGTATAATGTTTGTAGATAATGGAGTATTCATCATTTACATATGATAAATATATCAACGAAAAGAAATTTGGAAAAAAATAATTGAGTAAATTCCACAGAAAATTCGAAATATTACCTTCTTGAATATTAAAATCAATGTTGAAAAGATTCTGAAAATTGTAACTTAGAAAAAGTCAGTTTTCCCAAATACTCAATTACTTCAGAAAGAAATATTTTGTATTTGAAATTTTGAAACACATACTCAAAGACAGTTGATTAATTGATTACATTCGAATAAATTCTAGAACTTGTCTTCTAGAATAGTGCGAATGGTAATTTTGAACAAATTTACAACAGATTAAAAATATATAATGATAATAATAATCAGTGTTACTATCTTCATTTTGGTTTGAAGGCCGTCGTAGTTTGTAACTGCATCCTAACGTTTCACCAGTGCAAGTTTAGTGCCCTGAGAACGACATTGTAAGAGTAGAAACATCAAAAGTCAAAAGTGGTTTCAGTTATTTGACCCAATTCCAACCAATCCTCTGATCGTTAATAAAAGACATCAGTTGTGAAAATTTTTGACTTTTCATTTCCAAAAGAATATCTACAAAATATATTATATTTTCAAGCCAAACTTCTACAGTTCTGTAAATGACCAAATCATTGAGAATGGTGGATTTAATATTTGGGCAAATGACAAAACTAGTCAATATAGAAAATGATGTATCTGTTATAAAAATTAGTCAGAAAATACTTCTCAGCAAGAAGTTATTTTACCACACATGAACATGAACTATTTGTTAGAGAATCAGTAAATAATGTGGTATTATGCAAAAGTGGAATAATTTTTGAGATTTTGCATTTGCTCCTGAAGTAACTGTCAGATGTCTTTAGGTTCGTTCCAACCAGCGTCAGAAACAGTTTCTGACAGTCAGGATTCTGTGCAGTAATGTGATTACGTTCCAACGTGAGTTTCCAACCATTAGTAAACTATCAATTTTCTGTTCCATCCAAGATTCAAACCTGTTCGAAATATATCAGAATGGTTTGAGGATTATCTTCTAACCATCAATCGGACGCATGCGTATTCTATATTACTGTTTCTGTATTATGTTCATGCAACTTGTAAACAACATAACCTGCAAACATTGTTATAAAATGAATTATGTATTTGCTGGCGCAGGAAAAATTAGGAATTCTTCAAGTGAACCTAAAATATGAACATCTTTAATTACACAAATTAATTATTGCGGTGACCTCCCAGTTCCATGTTGATTAGTAAATAGAATAGAGATATAAAATACTGCAACCTTCTTTTACTCTCCAGAAATACACTTGATTAGATTTATTTTTCAAGGTTATGTTGAAATTCCATGCCAAACTTCAGTTGAACTATCAGCTGTCAGCTGTTCCGATCAGAAATTTCAAATCAATCAGAAACCAATATTTACCAGACATGCTCGTTGACAACGATTTACAAACAGTTGGAAATCTGTTTGTGACTCAAGGTTGGAACGAACCTTTTATTGCTCGTGAACATATTTTATGTCGTATTGCAGGAAAGCCCAAGTCATATTGTTATAAAGAACCGTTCAAAGATTTTGTTATTCTGACTTTCCTGACTCTTCATTCAATAACTTTTTTCTGGAGTGAGAAACTCCAGAAACTGTTATATTTATTGACACAGACACATATTAGAATGTGTTTTATTTGTGATAATCTTATTATTGTGTTTTACCACTTTTTTATTTCAAATAAAACTATCTAATAATGACTGTTTATGTTGCTCCTTTTTAATGATCATTATCACATTTAAAGTTGACATTTGATGTCATTTGGTCAAAAATATTGGTGGATCTTCCTGCAAGAAAGACCACTAATGAAACATTCAGTAACTTTTCAATTGCGTAATAAACATCACTTGTAATGCACTGTTTGGAACCATTGGTGTAGTAATGAATATTGCTTTTCCCAACACCAAACCGTTATTTTAATGCCTCAACACATGTATCAATCACCAAGTGATCGTCTTCAAGGGGAAGAATAAACTGATATACTTACAATGTTATCCTTATTTATATCCTAGATACCTCTACTAGGTACCTGCATCTTGAGTGTCTTAAATTAATTTCACAATATTGCCTTATCTACTAGTCTTGAATCAATTTTGCAATGTCTTTATGTAATAGTCAGGTAAATCTAATAATTAAAATATTATTTTAACAAGCTATAGAGTATGCTGTTAGGTATTGGTCCACCATCTTTATTCATAATATTATTGTTTACTTATTTCTAAACTCTCAGAGGCATCTAGATGCCTGTTGTTGTTAAGAGGAATCCATACCCACTTTGAAACGATTTTACTTATAATTTCACGAAAAGTTGTTTGATTTTCATGCAGCTTACACCGATAGCTTCGAAAAAATATTCTTGAGATGGGTAACTATTGTTTCTCGATTTTTCTTCANTCCAAACAATCGAACATGTATTTATCGATAGAAATATGGTTACCTAGGTATTTATCCGTGAATAAGGCAAGTACCTAGATAAAACCCTAGGTTTTATTGTATGTGCGTTTATTGTAATATGCAACATAAAGGCGGAGATTGCGCGACGACGTGCTCGCCCGTTTCCGTAGTGAAATCGTCAGTAAATTGGGAGATGTGCCATTTGAAAAGTTGTCTTTGGTCATCTCACTTGCATATTTTGGAACACGCCCACCGATCCGCTCGAAATTTTGAGGTTAATGCATTTTCACAACCCGAGTGCAGGTGTTCATTCCTCTTAACTTGTCTAACTAGTCTTAATGAACTAAAGTCTATGGAATGGTTTTGTTGCAAAATATGATGGGTGACTGTTGATTTTTCTGAAATTCCATATTTTAGGTATGCTAAGTGTTCCTTATATCTTATTTTAAGATCTTTTTATCTGTCCATAATATTTTGCACTGCAGTCCTTACATTTAATTTCGGTAAATTCCAGACTTTTCCGAATTCCTGACTTTGTCTTGTTTTTTGGATTTTCTAAAAGGCTCTGTAGTGTATGATTTGTTTAAAAAATCACCGTCGTCATACCTAGTTCCTTTCAACAACTCCTTTCATCTCGAATGCTCATGGAATCCCATTGGAGCCAGTAACCCTTTTCCTGCTGGCCGTGCTAAAACAGAAAAATTTTTACCCGTGGGTTGACCAATAATTGACTACACTGAATAATCAAACTCAACTTCATTTCGCTTTAAATACACAAACACTTCAACTGAAACTTCAACTATTATTTGAATGTCTATCGCCTTACTAGATCACTTCGCGTACCGCACTGTAACGTCCACTTGACTGTCTCGATACGCTCCTGGCTAGCGTTCATATATCGTAATGGAATGCACTAGAAAATGTCTCTGAAATTCCGTCGATATCGCTAGCATTATTCTCGCTGCTTCTAGAGTGGCAGGGAATCATCGTACATTCGCGCGCTCTTATCTACGTCACCATTGGTTATGGCTACCAGTGAGTGGCGGCTGGCGTTATTTTCTTTCGGGCATGATTTACAACATTAAGGACACTTAAAACGCAGGTACCTAAAAGAGGTATCTATGGTATGAATAAGGATAACATAGTAAGTATATTTAGTTTAATCTTCCTCTTGAAGATGATGACTTGATGATCGAAACACGTGTCGAGGTGTTAAAATAAAGGTTTGATGTTGGGAAAAAACTCCAGTAATATTTAAAAAACATCGATTCTTTCCCAATATTTCAGTTTTCTAAGTCAACTTTGAATACATCATTTAATCAACTATCCTGATTGAAACCTCAAACTCATTTATTTTCAGCAAACCACTCCAGAATTCTTTCATACACACTGGCCACGGTTCAGCTTTTGGAGAATCTTGGGGCAGCCCGTCTTATATTGATGATATGTACCTGAAAAATCCTATGGATCCACCTGACATATTGGGTGTACAAAAACAAACCAAACCTTCACCTCAACTTTGTGATAGGAGGAAAACTTCTCCAAAATCTGGTGAGAATTGCACTGAAGAGTTTTAAAGCAATCATTATCTTTAATTTTTGACAGGAAAATATGTACTACCAACTTAATATCATGAAGATTATTATCCATTATAATATTATTCATCATAATATAAACATTATTGTTTTGCATTACTCTAAGAGATACCCTTAATGATTAAAGGGAACAAAATCTGAGCTGGTGACATTTCGTCTGCTACTGTGGCAGACATCAGTAGTATGTGTGCTGACTGCAAGGATGAAAGTCCTGAAGTCAACGAACATACTGATTATGTCTACCGCAGAAGCATATGAAATGTTTAGTATTCCAGGTTCCATTCGCACAATAGCCAATCCGAATTTTCTTCTCTTCAATCTTGATTCCGGCCTATGTTCTCAAACCTTCAGTGATTGTCAATCTAGTTTCTTATTTTACCGACATCTAGTAATATGTACAATCTTTACAAAAATCATTCGAGGCATTGTCATATTCTTGTGGATCTTTCACTATTTATTATTAAAAGAAGTTGGAACCTTTTATAACTGATAGATCTTTTCAGATCTAGTCCTACTACTAATTACATCCATGACACCATGCAAAGGGCATTGTTTTTTGTTGGGGTTATGCCAAACTGAACGAAAAATACTTTGACTTCGACTATTTAGTTTTTTTGGTTATCTTCAACAGTTACAAAATTTTTATAGATAACATTTCAAATTAACAAAAATGACATCTAACATTTTATTTAAAACAAAATATAAGTTCGATAGTTTTTTTTTCACGTATAGTCAGTGGGCATACTTGAAGACTGGCTATAAATCAAATCATCTAAAAGAACAATTCGTTCAGGCCAGTCTCAACACCCTACACAGTAGGTTAATGGACTGACACCTATCAGAAAACAACTACTCCCCTGGCTAATACCACGAAGGGCGTTGGATTATATCCGACAGGTGTCAGTGCAGGATTCTTCACTGAAGT